CCCCCCCCTCTGTGTGCCTTTGTTTGATCAGATCCAGCGCTGTTGTACCGCCGCTTCATCGAGGAGCGCGGGTACTTCTACCTGTGCGGGCAGTCGCGGCAGGTGCCGATAGACATCCGCAACGCCGTGTTGCAGGCGCTGCAGTCTGAGGGCGGGATGACGGACAAGGAGGCGACCGACAAGCTCATCGACATGCAGATCAGGGGCAGATACAACGTTGAGGCATGGTCCTAGTCAGGCAAACCTTGAGGGAGGGAGAGGGAGGGAGTGGTTTTGTCCGTCTGTCTCTGTTGATTGATGGTGTGGCTGTTTATAGCACCGGCTGGCCTGACTGCCTGCCTGTGGGGGCTAGGGGATGGGGGGGGAGTGCATCTGTCAGTCGAGGTATGTTTAATTCACTCCCTGGGAGCGTGTCGTTTGTCCGTGCTGCAAAACTGGCTTACTGGCCATGCCTCCATCCATGTGTCGTGTGTGTGAATGCGTGTGAAGTGCGTGTGCGTGTGTGTGTGTGCAGTGAAGTGAGGTGAGAGGGTCTCTCAGAGACCTTCACCCCAGCCACCCAGCCGCCCACCCGACCAGCAGCGAGCGAGAGAGAGAGTATTCGGTAGTCTATTTGATGAAGTGCTGTGTGTGACATGCCTTGCCTTGCCTGCGCCTATCCTTGATTGTAAGTAGACGAGATGAAGTGGGACAAGCGCAGGCAGCAAATGAGCGTCTTGAGTCTTTTTACCCTTCCAGCCTGTCTGTCTGCCTGGGGTGTCTCATGCCCTGCCATGCCAGCATCACTACTGTGACGAACAGGCATGGAGCGGTCGGACAGACAGACAGACAGACCGACCATCGAACAAGCGAGTGCATTTGGGAGTGAGTGTGAAAGTGACCGTGCGAGTGTGTGTGTGAGAGAGACGGGGGGGCCGGGGGACGAAGGGAGATCCAGGGGGTAGCTCATAAGCGGCAGTTTTGCGCTGTGAGAGCTGTCTGTCTGTCTGTCTGTCTGAGAGAGGGGGCAGCACAGCACAGCAGTGAGTGTGTCGGTCGCTTCTTGACGCCAAACCGCCGTCAAGAGGCCGTCGACGACCGTGTGGTCAGGTTTGGCATGGCAGTCACACCTGACTGAGTGACTGAGGAGTGGGTGGGGGCCTTTTTGCGGGAGGGAAAGACTGCGGCCGACCGACCAGTGTGCGAGTGCGTGTGTGTGTGTGTGTGTGGATGATCGATCCTATTTTTATCCGCTATGTGTGCAGTGATGATGGTTTGGATGGATGGATGGATGGACGGATGGGGCTGTGAGCGCAGTGCAGCGGCTGTTTTATTGCATTTTGACCCGGGCCCGTCTGTGGGCTCCCTCCCTCCCTGGCTGGCTGCTGCGTCGTTGTGTACAGGTAAGCGCTCATGTGCCCGTGTTGGTGTGCATGTGTCTGTCTGTCTGTCCGTCTGTCTGTGTGTGTGTGGTTGGTGTGATGGTGACAATTCGAAGGTCTCTGCTCCCAGCTGAGCTGAGATGGTCTTGGGGCGGTGGCTGGCTGGCCAGGAAGGAACGAAGGATTTTGATTGCCTGCCTGAACCGAGATAGATATCCATCACCCCACCCACACTGAGTCAAGTTAGATGACCCCGCGATACCCATGACCCCGTCATACCCTTCCACACAGACACACCCCCCGCCCACCCGGCACACACACACACCACAGAGAGACAGGGCGTGCACCTGCATGATCAATCGGACCCGTGCAAGCATCGAATTCGCGGAGAGACGGTCTTGGCTCGACCGACTGACCGGCAGTACCTTACCTTATACTCGCAGTGAGAGTGAGAGAGAGGGGGGGGGAATGTCCGCTCGCTTTTTTCGCTTATACGATAGACTTGACTGCACGACATACCTACCGTTCAGTCGCCGTTCGGTCGATGAGTGTTTTTCGACCCGTGCGCGCGGTGTCTGGCCATATCCACCATCCCCGTGTGTGTGTTGATCACATGCATGCATATGTATCTATCTGCCCCCTTGTATGTCCTCACCTCACGCGACTCGCTGTTCCTTTGGCCGTCTGCGTGACATGGTGCAACTGGATTGGGCTGGGTATGCAGCCGCGCAGCCTCGTTTTTGGAAGACGCAGCGCCGTATGTGTGAGAGAGAGTGTGACTGCAGTGCTTGCAGTGCTTGCAGTACACTGTACGTAACACGACAGACAGACAGACAGATGCAGACGGTCTGCTGCACATGGATGGATGGATGGATGTGGTGCTCAGCTGGACGAAGGACTGACTGACTGACTGACTGAATAGTTCCTGACCCAATCAAGCGACGAGGGGGAGCATCATTGCCATTGTCCTCACATAAGCACACACACACACGCACACACAGGGGCACCATCCCTCGCTCACAGAATGCTCCCTCCACTTGCCAATCCACTCTATCTCTGCAGCTGCATGAGCTTCCTGAAAACGCCCTTGACAAACACGGTCAGCCTGGTCTTGTTATATAGGTCCCCGCACTGCCGAACCGCCTCGGCCTTGGTGGGATACGGATGGATCACTGACGCCAACGCACCTAAACCCTACACACACACACACACACACCACACACACAGAGAGAGAGAGTCTCATGCACTCGGACAGCACACACACACGGCGTCCAGTAGTACATACCATTTTGCTTTCCATTGCGACGGATATCTCCGATATCATGTCTCCCGCATTGGGGCCAACAATGGTCGCACCCAGTATCTCGTCCGACCCCTGCACACACCACCCCCGCCACCACGCCACCACGCCACACACCACACATCCAACAAACAAATCCCACATCCACGCACATCCAGGGTCCCTGCCCACCTGCTTGGTGTGTATCTTGACGAATCCCTCTGTGTCCCCCTCGAGGATGGCCCTGTCGACGGCCGCGAAGGGCTTGGTGAAGGTCCGGTACGCGATGCCCCCCGACTCCATGTCGCGGGGGTACAGCCCAACGTGCGCAATCTCGGGCTCGGTGACGGTGCACTGGCACACAGACACACACACGGAGAGAGAGAGAGAGAGAGAGCGATGCACACACAGAGAGGGGTGTGGGAGGCTGGTGCAGGTACCCATGGAATGAGCAGGTCAGACATCTTGGCTTTGCCCCAGAAGAGAGCGTTGCGGATGACCGCCCGCGCCATGAAATCGGCGGCATGGGTGAAGTGGAACTTGGTGCAGCAATCGCCCACGGCATATATGCTTTTGTTGCTCGTCTGACCACCACACACCGGCACACACAGCCGCCCATCAAGATTTTAAGTGCGCGAGAAGAGATGGATTGGTTGTGTGTTTTGTGGTGGGGCTGACCTGCAGGTAATCGTTGACTTTGACGCCCATCCGGTCGTCATACTCGACGCCAGCAGCCTCCAGGCCGATCCCGCGCACATTGGGTTTGCGGCCGGTGGCCACTAGCAGGGCCTCTCCCTCTATCACCTCGCTGCCACCATCTGTTTGGGATGGGGAGAGGGTGGGCGTGTGTGTGTGGTTTGTGTATGTGTGTGTGTGTGTGCGCGCCTTGCCTCGTTCGATGTGCACTGTTATCTTCCCGAATGGCTGTCCCTCTGCCGGTGGCTCGTGCGTCACCTTGACGAAAGTGACCCTGTTCTTGATCACCAGGCCGTCGCTGAACACACTCAGGCAACACGCACACCAAACACATGTCACGTGTGCGTGTGTGCCTTAGTTCCCCCGTTCACTACTCACCGCTCAAGTGCCTTCTGCACGACGGCTGCGGCATCTGCGTCTTCCTTGGGCAGCACCTTTCCCCCTCTGTTGAGCACCACCACCTCGCTGCCGAACCGTCGAAACGACTGCGCCATCTCCAGGCCGATCGGGCCTGCTCCCATGACGATAATCCGCTTGGGCAGATCGGTGAGGTTGAAGAGGGAGGCATTTGTGAGGTAAGGCGAGTCGGCGAGGCCGGGGATGGGCGGCACGGCCGCATTGCCGCCGGTTGCTATGACGGCCTTCCTGCACACACACACACACACACACACACATAAGTGTATCATGCTGTGTGGTGTGTGGGTCCTCCTTGCCTGAAGCTGAGTGTCTTGCCGTTGACGGTGATAGTATTGGGTGAGGTGAACACGCCCTTGCCGATATAGACATCGACCCCCAGGTCCTTGGTGAACCTCTCGGCGCTGTCATGATGAGAGATGGACGCCCGCAACCTAGGAACACACACACACAGAGAGAGAGCGAGAGGGAGAGAGAGAGAGAGCGGTCATGTCACAGGAAATCAGAGACATAGACACATAAACACACTACCCACCTTCTCATGCGCTGCATGACCTCCCCAAGGTCGACGCGCACACTGCCGTCGATGTGCACGCCGTACTCCTTCGTGTAGGCCTCTCGCGCATGGTGCGCCACGGTCGCTGCCTTGATCAGCGCCTTCGACGGCACACAGCCCACATTCAGGCAGTCGCCGCCCATCAAGTGGTCCTCAATCAGGGCGACCTTGGCCTGCACGCCCGCTGCACCAGCGGCAGAGACCAAGCCCCCTATCAAATGACAGACAACACAACACGCACACACTCGGATGGGAGGATCGTGGCGCATGGAGCGATGGGTCACCTGTGCCTGCCCCCATGACGACCAGGTTGTATGTGGCTTTGGGGAGAGGGTCGTGCCACGCCGCCGGGTGCACATGGTCGAGTAGCGACGTGTTATAGGCGTCCAGGGGCGCCACGCCGATGTGCTTCGGTGCCATTTGCATGTTGGGATCACGGCTCACCACCTACACCCACACACACACATACACCAGACACACACATAGGGCATCCGCACTTACCCCACCCCGTCAGCCACTCGCCCACCTTTAGGTCGGTCTGTTTGCTGCCGTCGAGAGGCCTGACGTCGACGGGCAGGATGCCGTTGAGGAACTGCGCCCAGGTGAGGGCCTTCCCGTCCCGGCTGACGGCCTTCTCCCCCTTTGACGGCTCGTCCAGCGCAAACCGATAAAACAGCGACTCGTCTTTCAGGGAATGGTCTCTGGTGACATGGGCGAACATCCTGCAGGCAGGCAGGGCAGAAACCAGGGAGGGTGGGTGAGAGCGCGTGTGTGGGATGTCCTGTCCTGTCCTGTCCTGTCAGGTGACGCAACCCCCCCACCTACCCCTGGTCCATCATCAGCTGCCCCACGAGCAGCGCGTCCTCGACGGTCTCTGCGTGGCCGTTGCCCATCAGCCACTTGACCGCGTCGCTGCCCAGGAAACTGCACCAACCAGCAGACAGCAGACAGACAGAAACAAGGGTTGTCCATCACCAGTGTGAATGACGCGCCGTGCCTACCATTTGGTGTAAGTGGTGAGGTGGTATCGGCGGTCGCGGATCTCCAGCTTCGCCCGGATCTGGTCTGCCAAGTCCTGCAGACGCACACACACACCCACACCACAGTCAGTCAGTCAGTGCACTCATTGCAGAATGCAGTTGTTCCATTCGATCATCCATCCCTTATGGCCATCGATTCAATCTGCACCCACCTGGACCATCTGCTTGTCGTCGAACTGGCAGATGCTCTCGTCGGCGCTCTCCACCGGATGACTCATCCTTAATTGCCTTCCTTCCTTTCACGATGAATCAGACTCTGGCGGCTGCGTGATCTTCGAGTGATCTATGCTCTCCTTTTCTCCTCTCTCCTTTTCTCCTCTTTCCCGCCCTTCTTGCGAGCTCAAAAGAACCAATCTCGCGAGCTGAACAGAGGGGCACGGCAGCATTGGACTCGAGGCGCAGGTTGGCAGTGACGGTGCTGTACAGCTGCACCGATAGCAGCGGCGTGTGACTCGGTGTCGCAGTTGTGGCGGCTTACCCGCCTATGAACGATGCTCCCCCCGGCAGCCCTGACTCCGCCCACCCGCCCTCCCCGCCACCCAGCGTGGGCCCTGTCATCGGAGGCCTCTTCAGGGGGAGATACGCCATCACGCATATCATCGGATCAGGGACCTTCAGTGAGCTAGCTACACGATGCCAAGCAAAGCAAAGCACGGCAGACACACAACAGATGATGAGAGGCGTGTTCGTCTGTGTGTCTGTGTGTGTCTGTGATTTGTGCGTGTGTGTAGGCACCATATACCAGGCTGTGGACACCAAGAAGGGCAGCAGAGTTGTGGCTATCAAGTACGAGAAGCCGATAAAGGAGAAGAGGGTGCTCAAGCAGGAGAGCAGCACACTCAAAGACTGCCAGGGTGAGCCAGCCAAGGAGCAAGGCGGGCGGGCGGGCGGCATCATGCAGGTCGTGTGTGTGTGTGTGTGTGTTTTGTCTGTTCTGTTGTGTGCAGGTCTGCCCGGCATCTGTCAGTGGTACAAGTTTGTCGATGGAGGGTACTACTACGGCCAATGGTGCGTGAGAAGTCCAGCAGGCAGACAGACAGACGCCTGGGTGCGCTGAACGGTATTTGTGTATGAAATTTATGTGTTTATTGATCCATCATGGGCAGGCATGAGTCGTTTATGGTGATGGAGTTGTTGGGTGATTCGATCAGCGATGTCCGCAGACGAGTGCACAGGATACAAATCGCCACCGTGGCGCAGCTGGGGGTACGTGACGTCCGCACACACCACAACACTTCAATCATGACGCTAGTCCCACTTCCTTGCCCCCCTCTCTCTCTGCGCGTCTGTCTGACAGATCCAGGCGCTGCGTGTAATCCAGGCTGTGCACCAGAAGGGCTACCTCCACAGGTGTGTGGGCCGACTCCCACTGACTGGACCTGTGCGTCTCTTTATTGGGTGTGATGCTTTCTTTGTATTTCATGTTCATTCCATTCCCCCCACTCCCACCACACCCCACAGGGACGTCAAACCCTCCAACTTTGTGCTCGGCCGCGGCGCCCGTCGGGACCAGCTGTACCTGGTCGATTTCGGCCTGGCCAGACGGCACATGGACCACGGCGTGTAAGCAAATCACATCGACCCCCATCCCTACCCTCATACGCAAGAGAGAATCTCGCTGTGTCTGTGTCTGTGTGTGGCGCGTGCCAGTGTGCGGCGTGAGCGTGAGAATGCCGATTTCCGCGGAACGACGACCTACGCGTCGCTGACGGCGCACAACAACCAGGACCAGGGGCGCAAGGACGACCTCTGGTCGCTGCTCTTCGTCCTGCTCGACCTGCTCGTCGGAGACCTCCCGTGGAGGCAATACAAAGTATATATGTGACTCACACACACACGATCGGTCAGTCAGTGACACCGAGGCTTGTGTGTCTGACCCATGGGATGTCATCAGGAGGACCGTCAGGCGGTCAAGCTGGCCAAGGAGAGGCTGATATCCAGCGCCACAGAGCTCATCAATCAGCGCCAGCCCCCACACACCCAACACCACCCGCCGCCACCACAGCAATCAGACGGGCCGGGGGCGGGGTGGCCACACGCGGGTGCCAACCACAGCGGCAGCACGTATGACGGCGCATCAGCACCCCAACGGCAGCAGCAGCAGCAGCAGCAGCAGCCGACAGCCGACGACCCAGCTGATCCCTCTCACACGCTGCACGCGTCGGCGTACGCAGCCACCAGGGCGCCAGCCAACACCAATACCCCTCCCAGTGGTGGTGACGTGAGTGTGATGCCGCGCATTCTGGTGCATCCCGAGGTGGAGCGGATGTTCGAGTGGCTGCCCAGCGAAATGGTGAGACGAAAATGGTAGATAGATAGCAAGATGGAATGCACTGCATACGATACGGGTCGTCCGTGTCCGTGTGGATCCGATCTGGTGTCGGTCGGTATGGTGTGCCTGTGTAGTTGTCATGGTTGGAGGAGCTGCAGGGGCTGTCTTATTCCATGGAGCCCAACTACAGCCGACTCGAGTACGTTTAACCACAACCACAACCAATCACTGTGAATCTTGCTGGATGGATACCCCTTTCTCTGTTCGTGTGTGATGGATGCATTCCATTCATTCAGTGCGTTGCTGCGGGTGATGGGCGGCAAGTACGACCGCTACCGCCACTTCGACCTGCTAGAGGAGATCTACGAGCTGCACTGGGACCCCAAACGAGGCATTCTCAACCGAATCATCATGTCCGTACGCAGCCAACCCCATTACACACATATCATATGCTCATTATATGTGTGTCTGCCGGCGTGTATTCAGGCCCCCTGACGGCATGAGCCCCCCGTCGCAGGCGGGCATTGCCACGGTCACCCGCGTGCTTCACGACGCCTGCCTGCAGCCGTCACAGCTGCCATCCAAGGCACTCATCGTAAGGAGGACGGTGGGGCGCGGCGCACAGATGGATGGGCGTGTGTTATGTTCAGGATTTGCTGCGGATTGTTGATGGGACGGTGAACTTTGAGCCCCCCATGCTGCCCATCAACACATACAGAGGGCAGCGGATCTGCCTGCAGGCACTCTCCTCACGTGAGCAGCACAGACACTCTCAAGTGAAGTGGGTGGAGACATCCAATGGCGTGTGTGTCTATGTTATGGGTGTGACTGCAACAGGCGAGCCATGTCCGCCGTCATGCACGCTGCTGCATCCCAGCCAGCCGATGGACACCGACGGCTCGCCAGCTGCCGACTGGGGGAGGGGCGGTGCGGATCGTCTCGCCCCGGGCGATATCTGCCTCGTCTATTGCCTCACTGGTGTGTGCATCATGCACACACACACACAAACTCATACCTCTCTATCCGTTTGTGTGTGGGTGTATGCAGGGGCGTGTTATGGGTCCTGCCACTGGCATCACTGGACGGCGGATGAGCTGGCGACCTTCATCGAGACGGGTGCGCTGCCGCTGAGAAGTGAAAGGCGCACCAACCCGGCAGCGGGAGAGCTCATGACATACGGCAGTAAGCCCCTCCAGCCCTTTACCCCCCACCACACACGGCGACGACCTGTCTGTGTGGCTGTGTGTGTGTTCCATGAAGGTGTGGGCAGCAAGTGGTCAGACAAGAAGCGAGAGCCCATCCATCGGGGTGAGGCGGAGGTCTCAGCGCCGTCCGGCGACAAGGCCCATGCTGTCAAGAAGCCGCGCGTGTCCGCAGAACGTGAGAAAGACAGAGACGACAGACACATGAACTGAACTGCACCCTTTACAGCAATGGATGGATGGATGCGCTGATTCGTATGCGATCTTCCCTCCAGGCAACATTGATGAGCCAGCTGCAGCTGCAGCAGCAGCTGGGGCTCTTGTTGCTGGCGATGTTGCTGCTGCAGGGGGCCCCTACATGATGCGGCGCGCCCCCTCCTGTGGCTCGCTGGACCACCTGTTCCACAACCCACACAAGGACTCTCTGCCCGAGTCGCCCGTACTGGAGAACACCCCCCGCAACACCCCCCTGTCAATCGCGCGCTCTTCGCCCTTCCTCAGCATCGCCTCCGATATGCTCCCCCCTCTCTCCAACCAAGACGCGATGAGACGCGCCGAAGCACCACCGCCAGCACCACCACCGGCGGCAGCGTCAGCTCCACAGCAGCAGCTGTCACCCTTCGCCCCAGCGGCCGTGTGCGAGAGGGATCGGTGGATCATCCGAGGGATTCCCCACATGCGGCCGATGACGCCGGGCTCGCCAGCTGAAGGCAGCCCTGCCGATGGGTGTGAGCGTGGCCTGGATGAAGGTGAAGGTGATGGGGGTCAGCAGATGATGATGGTGTCGCCCCCTCCCTCCCCATACCCTCCACACATAGAGAGGCACCATCACCGGCTGCCCCCGCTGCGCCCCCACTACGACCACTGTGGCTTCCTGCATCACCGGGACGCCTCGCGATCGCCCCCGCCCCCCTACTCCCCCTACCCTCCCCCCATCAGCGGCATGGCGCCAGGTCACCAGGGCGATTGCGGCGGTGTGGACGATGGTCGGAGGATGACGACGTTTGGGTTTCGGTGGGAGGGGCAGATGCAGGGGATGGAGGGGGTGCATGGGATGGATGGGATGCAGGCAGGCCCGGGCCCCCCGCTTTGATGATGGTGATGTGATTCTGTCTGGTGTGGTGTGGTGTGGGTGATGGATGTCTTGACACGATGATTGTGGCGGGATTTTTCTGGTGTGGTGTCTGGTTGCTGCAAAGAGGGAGAGACAATGACTGTGTGGATGGGGTTTTGTTGTTATGTGTCATTTTGGCCACGTCTGGGGAGTGGGGTGCACTCACTACACACGGCTGGCTGGAGTCACGTCACTCACTTTGGTAGTAAGGAGGGAGGGAGCACTCGGTGGCTTTTCGATTGATGTAGCACACGGCGGGAGGATACATATGCACACACGCACATCTATCTACCGCGGCGGACATTTGAACGTCTGCAGCACCAACCAGCACATGTGTGGGGAAGGGGAAATTATTTCCGTGTAGTAGGGGGCACACGAGGAATAACCAGATGGGGAGAGAGAGAGATCGCTCAGCAGTGACATTCCGATAGGAAGTGTTCACTGCAAACAACAAACGAGATGCGTCGGAACGGATTTTTCCCCCACGATCCTGGGAGGGTTTCGGTCCGAGTGATGTCGTGTGTTGGGCTGTGTGTTCAGAGGCCGCGTGGCCTCGGCCGGCGGCTCATTCATCACTTTATATACGCCGGCCGCTAAGTTGGTTTTGACAGGGAGGCCGGCGAGGACAAGGAGGAAGGGGATTCTTGCCAATGAATTTATAGCTCGTTCGTTCATTCCAATTTTGATCCACTTGCTGATGAGTGATTGTCAGCCTGAACGAACAGACGGGCGGCGGCACTTACTTGTGCCCGCTGCATTCTTGCTGTGTCCGTGTGTGTGTGTGTGTGTCTGTTTATGAGGGGGAGCCGCGGGTGATGAGATAGAAGTTTACCTGTACATGTGTGTGTCTGTGTATTTCTCTCTGTGTGTCTATCTGCCGTGCGTGGTTCGTCGATTGTACAGCTTAGCTTGGTCGCTCGTCGCCTCGCTGGCTTGCCGATAGATGGGTCGGGTCGATGGCTGGTCGGTACTGGTCGGGTGTCTGTGACATGGTGTGTGCCTCGCTGATGAAGGGAAGGAATTGGAGACGGAATGCGCTTCTCTGTTGTTGCCGTGAGTGACCCATATCGTCGGAAGCTGCATTTTTCGGTTGGTTGATCAACATGGTGCATGCCAGTGGGTGGCCGGGGGGAATCCCGGGTTGAGTGATGGGTAAAGCCACATGGGTGTATCTGTGTGTCTGATAGGGGGACGACGATCCATCCATGTGTGTGTTCTCTTTCAAGACACACGTCGCGTCCCCGTGCATCGGAAACATACAGATCGGTTCGATCACGTCATACTCCTACACATAAACCAACCAACAGAGCCCACAGTGCCCCACACAAGTGCATTTGATGACACCCGCCCGCCACATGGATAGATCGATCGATGTATCGGCCGTACGCGTACCCTACCTGGTCATCTAATGCTGCTGCAGCCTCCTCGGCCGATGCCATCTCATCGTCATCGTCGCCACACTCGCCGTCGTCAGACTCATCTCGGTCCATGCGGGCCCTCTTTGTAAGGCCAGCCTCCTTCGGAGGCGACTTGCCAGCGCCCCGCTTATGCTGCCGGGAGCTCATGAAAGCCCGCTTCCACTCTCGAAGGGTTTGTGGGGCTTCAGGGTTTCGAACCCTGTCAAGAGGACCCCGCTTGCTGGCTGCGTGTGTGGCCTTCCTGCGAGCCTCTGCTGCCGATCTCCTTACGGACAGGCCTGCCCGAAGGGCAGGCACACATGGTTGATTGCGAGGAATACCCCGCCACTGCCCCGCCCACCACCACCACACCGCATCAGGCTCGGGCATCCTCACAGAATCACACTATATTGCAGAATCAAGGCGGTCGCAGTGAGTGCACAATGCGACCGACCGATCCCACGGACGAGCCCAACCACGAGCCGCCGGGCTTCATCAGCTCGCCGCGGGTCATGTTCATCGCTCGGTGGCTGGAGCTTCTGTGGGGCTATGGCGTGACGCGCTTCGGCCTCGTCTTCACTGGGTTCTGGGTCATGATGGGCGGCAGATGGGCCGTGCAGGCGCACAATCTCGTGCTGAAATGGTCAGTTCAGGAAAGAAATGGCACACAGGAGGGGCTGTCCTATGCTGTGGAGGATGATGGATGTGAATGCTTTGTGGGTCGGTGTCTGTCTGTCTGTGTGACGACCAGGGTGTTTGGCGTCACGTCGCCGCCAAAGCCCATCGATGGGAAGCACCACCTCAACCACTCCCACTTCTGCGACAAGGCACGCCACCACACACACACACACACACAGGAATCTCTCTCTCTCTCTCTCTCTGTGTGTGTGTGTGTGGATGCTACACAGGCGCGTTGGGCACTGGATGCCTCAGGGGTGGCCTACAGCGAGACGGCATACGGCACCAGCAACTTCAAGCCCGCCATCACGGCCGTCAGCCACGGCACCTACGCCGCCGCGCCATATATGGTGGCTGCCAACGGTGTGCATCAGGCAGAATAGTCGCTCTCGTGTGAGTGTGTGTGGCAAAGAGAGACAGAGGTGTGGATGTGTGTGTGCGTGTGTGTGTGTGTGTAGGGGCGTCTGTGCCGGACAGCACGGGCATCTTGACATATCTGGCTGAGCACCACGGCAGGCAGGCGTCATGGCTATTCCCGAACAAGGAGGCCACTGACCTAGGTAAGGTACACACACACTCACACACACACACACATACACACACATATACAGAAAGAGAGAGAGACAGAGGTAGGTGTGTGTGTGTGTGTGCATCAGAGACGTATTTTGACGACAACTTTGCGGTTGTGCTACGGCCTGCTGGACACGGCCCCCTCCGGCCGCCTGCTCGTCCTGTGTGTGGCGCTGCACACAGAGGTCACATCCATCTGGAAGTGGCTCGCCATACGTCCGCATAAACACCCACACGGCCACACGCACACACACATGTCTCTCTCAACCCCCCC